GAAGGCTCCCGCTAAGCCTGTTGTAAATAAAAGGACCGTGATAAGTAGAAATTTGATATTCACGAAAGCTTCGGAAATATCATCGAACAATACCGCGACCGCATGATTCATTAACACGACTAACGATTCTTTTGTCAGTACCGTGGTCATTCGCGAGAAATCGTAGATCGGTACGATCGACCTGTTCGTCGAAATTGTAACCCCCCGTCGAGTGATTTGTAACGGAAGTGGCGAGATATTTTACGGAAGCTCTCGCGAATTTGTCAGGATTATCTGCGCTGTCTCGCCCCGGCGAGCAGTCAAATATTTTCCGCGCGAGAGAATGGACCTGTCTCTTTTCGCGTCATCGTTTCGACTCCAACTTTACATTGTAAGTTCGGGGAAACATCGATTCAATAAACTATTGTTATATGTTGCGTCGTTCATTCTGTCGCGTGGTTCCGTTGGTTACGAACCGCGGCGAAAATTATGTGCCCTGTCGGGATCTTTTCACCGATCTACGGAGAGACTTTGATTTACAGGCGTGCGTTAGATTTTGTTGGACGTTATAAACTACGAAGAACAGCCCGAAAACACAGTACAGTATTCATCGTACCTGGAACCACGATATACTTCGCTCGTTCTAATCGTTAATTACAACGTTGTCGCGAATTTGTTAACCTGTAACATGTATAACTTTTGCGATCGTAAGCGTCGATGTGGAGTTTATCACAAATAAAGAGTCCTGTTGCAAAGCAAAGGGGCTTAAGAGAAATGGGTAAATTGTATTCACCGAATAACGAATAAAAATTTCAGATCAACTCGTAAACAGACTTCTGTGTGATTTATCAAAATTATAACCTAAAAAATTCAAGGTATATTCCTAGTAAACGGCCCGTTCAACGAACGATTCGTCTAATTCAGTACATTATTGATATGCATTTCATTATCTGCGGAAATTCGTTATTTTTTTATAAACTTGTCGTAAAGTTAAGTATATTTTGTCAGATTCACAGGTGGAAACAAGTGACTGTCGTGTTACTGTGTTCAAAATGCCAGGTAGTCAAATGCTAGTTTGTTAAACATTTATTGAATAAAATTTCTGCTATTTCTGCTAATATTTCATTGAATAAATCACTATTACCCGTAAACACCGTCAGAGGGCGGTGGCAACATTTTTTACTGTTGCTGCATGTACTGTCTGCCTATAAGTACTGCCTGAGTAGGTCTGGGTTATATTGGGGGGGAGGGGTTAATTGTTGCAGCACATATTGTCTACCTGACCGACTCACGCAAAGTCTATGAGGAAAAAAATGATTTTTATGCATACACGTTCTACAAAATCCCATTTGACAATGTAGCATTATCAAATTAGATCAATCATGAACATAGCAACGATAGTCACTTGTTTCTTCCTGTGCACCAGTCAAAAAATGTACTTAACCTTACTTCTTTTACTGTAACTTTACAAGCAGTTTACAAAAAAAATAACAAAAATTTTCGCAGATAATGAAATGCATATCAATAATTTACTGAATTAGACGAATCGAATGAACTCACCCTTATCGTTGAACGGTTTGCTAGGAATGTTCCAAGTTAAAAATAAGAACAAGTACCGAATCGAAGTAAGGTTATTAACCTAACCTATAACTTACCCATGCAGCGTTTCTACGAGGCCTGTCCAACGATCGTTTCGACGACAGCGAAGATCGGCGGTGTTTCGCAGAAGGGATCGTCGAAAACGATTCTGCGGTGAGGGTTTCGCTCGTCGACGTAACCTAGTTTGGCGAAGTCGTTTATGCATATCACGCAATTTTCTTACGGTTTCGGCCGTGTTAAAATATGTATGGAATCGAGTTAAGCCGCGGCGCGGTCCGGCGACGGGCACAGGAAGCCGCGGAAGCTGTTACCGAGCCATTTGCATGGCATCACCGCGATTTCGTTAAAACAACCACTCCCCCGTCCCCCCTCTACGAACGCCCATCCACCGTTTTCTCCCTTTCGCGGTATCTGCCGGCGGCCCCCCGGCTCCGGCAACTCGATTTACCGGTCGCAATCTAAATACACGGTGTTCCATTATACCGCTGGCGTGCCCTGTCGCCGGGATATTTCGAACGAATGTTGAAATTGATGTCGCCGGGCTTTCATTTTTCGTCGCGCACGCAACGATAATCGCCATCGGGCCACTCGCGACGCGATACCAATCTCTCCCGGTTGACTTTTGCACCCCCTTTTTTCGCTGTAAATAGCTCGTTGCGCGGTGTTCCGGACTCGATATAGACGGATCGTTGTTACTAGCGAACCGAAATGATACTTCATCGTTTCCCGGGTTCCGAAGCACCGATATTGACCGTTAACTCTTTAAGGGTACCATTACCATTCGGTGGTACTTGGTCGATCCGATTTAAACAGTACGTCTGATCACACATCGAGGAAAAAATCCTTTGAAACAACCTAGCCCTACCTGAGTCAGGCCCTGAGACGCCAGTCGAGTGTCCCTCTGTTGGCGAGTGTGGGAGATGTCGCCACATAAGTATTTAGTGTAAACTGTTTCGATATCTGTTAGTGTTTGATAATACATAAACCTTACGTGCTTGTAGCCTGCTTGTCGACACATCCTGTGAAACTTTGTTTCGAGTAAAATATTCTGTGTCCAATTTTATTACCACGTCGACCGGTCCCCGACAAGGTTATGTTATTTATGGGCAAACCTAACAAAATTAGGATAGGAGGATGTGCGTCGAGCACTCTAAACCCGAAGTTGCATCGGAATCGCGACAAGACCGTTCTCGCGTGCAATATTTTTCGTCTCGGGAAGACATATGCACGACGAGGCGAGGGGGAACCACCGTAGACCGCGGAGTATTCTCCTCCTGCCCCCCAGCAGAGGCATCATGCCAGAAGTTACGACGCTCGGGAAGCGAAGAAGGCACGGGGAACGAAAGGGAACAACAAACCTGGAGAGTTAGAGAACCAAGGGGGGAAGAAAGATTGGCGCCGGCAGACTTTCGTTCCCGAAGAAGCATAAAAATCGTTTCTCCTGGACGACCGCCGTACCCCCCCGCCGCTCCGTCCGGCCCCGCAGACAGTTTTATGTGTCTCACATTAATTTGCATAATCGAATAGAGAAATCTGAATAACGCGTCTTCGCGAAGTCGTCTGTCACGTTGCTGGATCCACCCCAAACGGAACCCGACTTTCCACCCTCCGAGGGTACACCTACGTAGTGATTGCCTGATTGCCCAATCGGATTCGTCGTTTCTTACGGTCCCCGTTCGTAAATATTAAGGGACTCGCGGAAATTGTGCAAATACAGACGTACACGATTGCTTCCGTGGGCGAAATGAAACGCAGAGAAGGGAGATGGACACGAGAAACTTTGTTCTTTATCTTTCGAGCTGCTACTGGAAATAATAACTACCGTAACAGTTGTGGATAATGTAGAGGTTAGAAGATCCTACCGTATCGCCAAATAGTAACATCAGACTTGTTGGAACAGATTTGACGAACTATTTCTCCGCCGTGAGCTACACAATTTCCGTTCAGGTAAGAGATTTTCCCATTGTCAAAAATACGAACGACGAATGCAACGGTGTACGTGCGAAATATAACCACAGACGAGGTATACGAGTAGATTTTTCACCTCATAGACTTTCGCGCCCAATCTAACTGCCATACCGACATGAAAATTCGGAGGTGATTGTAGCGACCTCTTCTCGTGGATGGCGGTCAGTTGAGGAACTATTCGCTGAATTAGTATTGATAGACAGACAGCTGTAATGTGAGTTGTCTATGGAAGGGATTGAAATTCATTTCTGAATCTGTTGGTAACGTTGCGAATTACACGAAAATGGTAATGGGGTTTCGAGACCCCATAAAAATGGGTCGAAAAAATACATAATACACACTAGGTGAAAGATCTACTCGTATACCTCGTTTGTGGTGCTTATTTTCCTTTCGTACAGCTGATAAAGCAGAATTCTTGTATATCTATGATCGATTGGGGGCGGAAAATCTATAAATATTGACGTATCGTCGTCATAACGTAGAAACGAACACAAACCGAACAGGGTTATGTTTGTTTCGTGTAAAAGCGATGATGGTGATCGCGTAGAGTCATCATATTCGACAAAGACTAACGGACAAGCTCGCTGTCAAAAATTCTATATAGGGTTTGGCAGGGCGCCGGCGCCGCTCTATAAATAGCGCGTACAACGCCAACCGCGGTTTGCGGCACGTAGACAAAGTAAAAGGAAAGCCAGCGATCGGGTGCGCGCGACGACGATAGTAGTTAACGGTGGTACATTTCGCCGCTTTGTGTCACCTAATCGCGAATGTATATTCGGTTCTTCCTCTCAGCATCGTGTGCCGATCAATTCGACATCGCGCGCGTCAGGCCTGTCGGTGGTCAAACTTACCGGAGCGTATCGTACCAAACGAATACAAACATTACCGTCGACAATCGTCGAAGTATTAGAGAAAGAGATCGCCATCGAATTCGTCCGTATGCCGGTGTTTCTACGTTTCGAAGACTAAGCTAAAATTATACGAGTGATCCACGAACGATGGTGGTGCAGCGTGTTCGTTGACGCAATGGCACACTTTAAGATGTGACTTCTTCGTTCACGCTTCGATCACGTCAGCTGATCGACAACGTGTATCGAGCGAAATAGGTGATTATGTAAATTCTAGTTTAGAAGGGGCCGTGGCCCGTGCATCGCGTGCAACGGATTCCCTTCGTCTGTCCACGATAACTTTCGCGGACTATAGAAGTTTTCTAGCCGGCTCGTTAGAGAGAAACTAATTATACTCTCCTCGTGTCGAGAGGTTACTAACCAGACCAGACAACCACTTCTGCCTGGCGCACGAGCAGTTTCGAGATCCGCGTGGCCACCCCAGATCCATTCGTTCACCCCTCTGTCGGACATTTCCTCAGACCTACGGTGAACGATTTGAAATTTAAACTGGATGAAAGTTCGAAACATATTCCAGATCATAATTTGTCGCCAGAGAGGCGTAAAATTCGTATCTGATTGAAACCCTCTTAAACAAGGAATAAAATTAATATTAGTGTTTCGGTTATAGATTATTTTTTTTATATTATGTTTTTCATATGACTCTGATTGGCCGAATCGAACCAAAAATTTTCAATTTTTCCTTCGAGCAATAATAACATCAAGCTAGTTCTTCGATCTTTGTAATCTTTTTCTCGATCACTTGATATAGCCGCGAAAGAAAATAATCGCTCGTAAGAAATTCCTTGCGTTACGAATAGAGAGGATCTTCGGTGCTTTCCAAAGAATACAACACGTATTTTTACACAAGGGACAAAGGGTGTCGAGCTACACGAGCCCGTGATGAGACCCGGTTTCATTTTACGACTATGGAATAGTTATTTTTACACGACAATTCGCGCGTAAAGATACGTACGCCTTTGTGGACGATTCGTTAGACCTCCCGCGCCAGTTTTAAACTTGCACTAATTGCTTTCGGAATGTAGGTAAACGCTTACCTTTCGATAAGCGTCGGATCCCATAGTTAATATTAAAATTATTCAAAGAGGATAATAATTAATGTCGAATCCAAGGGGAAATAGTTGAACCGTTAATTTTATTTAAATTATCGATTAGAAACGAGCAATTTATCGATAGGGACGATAACAAATAATTTAATTTTGCGAATCGAAGCCCATTCGAGAACGTACAAAGCGTACCGTGATTGTGGTTGATATACACAATTCGTACAACAAGTGTCCAGATGTTGGCTGGCGTACACGCTCGTCCCACCTACGGGAGTTTTACGCACAGCTTGTATACAAGGTGATCCGTTAGAAACAAGTCACCCTAATATCTCAGTTACTTTAAAACAATACGTATTTCCAACGACAACTGTACGCCATTACGGGTGAACAAAACACGTATCTCACAGCGACAATAGTTTCATTGCGGACAGGGGTGCGTAAAGGGGGCTCGACAGACAGCTTTGTTTTCTTTAATGAAACGAAGGTGTCCTATTTCTAGCGGACCGCTCTGTATAGATGGTTTCGGTGGAACTGATCCGTGGGCCTATCGCCAAAGAGGATTTCCCTTCTGAAATTCGGTTCGCCGACTGACGATCTATTTTCTTGCATGTAACGCGAGGCGTCCCGGTATTTATGCCGTTGATGTTTAACACCGCGAACCATAGCCCGAGTAAACGTGTATTTCGTACGCGCGTGAACCTGTACGATTCTCGATGCGTACAGAAATAGAAATAGAAATAGAAACACGGTTACAATACGCACGAGGAGACAAATTGTTTCGTTACGTTCGATCACTTTTATTTCTGTTCGTTAATTGTTTAATTTTTCCATTCCCGTCCGGACGCGCGAACACGAACGATTCTTCGATCCTTTAGATCGTCGGCGATCAGAATGGCTCTGGTGATGCTGCCCTGCGATCTGCCATGGTGGCCAGCCGTGGTGAAGCAACTGGATCGCGCGGCCGATGCCAGAAATTCCGAGGATCTCTTGGAAGCGATGCAACGACTGCACGACATGTGCAAGTAAGTGCAACGAACAGCAATTTCTGTTAACGTCGCGTGTATTGCGGATAGAAGAAACGATGTATAGGGAACACGTACGAGAGAGCAACGACGCGCGAAGAGAGTCCCAAGGCCCATGGCCGTTTTCTGTGCGCTCGTTGGACACCTGACGCACGGAGGCCATGGCGCACGAACGGACAGGGAAGGGGTAAACGCCTCTGCGCATGCGCTGTCCCGTAACTGCTCATTCGATGACTCGAGGGATGCTCGAATACAAAAATCAATCTATAGAAAATAGATACAAGTACAATTTTATTTAAACAGTAGATAATGAATAGTTAAACTTATTATTCGTTGTTCGAAATTTTTAAAATGTATACTCGTTAGTTTCAGAAGGAAAACAGGGAAACTGGGTTATTTATATCTCGACAAGTTTAATAAGATATCCGAGGTACTACATTCTACGCTAACTTGAGCGTGGAAAACGAGGGACGAGAATTAAACCGGGCGATTAGATTACCAAGGTCTGCTTAGCTATCGAGCGTCCTTTGATATTGTTTAAAGAAATAAGGCTGCGGATGGACGACTCGGACCGACGTCGAACCGAATCCAAGGACTTTATTCAACTCGTTGAGCTATAAATAATATAATAATCGAAAGGTTGTTCTGTGTCTCAAATCGTCGAACTAAAATAGATGCTAGTTGATCACAAAGAACAAGAAACAGAGATATATTCGATACGCTAGTTTAATTCGTTGACGACGAACATGAAAACATCAATTGTTTTTTTTATATGTTGATAAAGCACATTTTAGTCAGTTTAGTGAATAGTGGAAGGCTGTATAGCTTTTGAATTATCTTTCGAATATACCCGAAAAGTTAATAGTTTACTACAACAATACGTCTTCTATCCACGATACACGAGTTCCGACCGATCAGCGCTCCGAATGCTATAATTCGCGTTTCGAATTTAAACCAGACTAACACTTTTTCCCCACGCGGAGATATTAACGAACTCGATTTTTCTGCTACATGCTGTTAAAAAGATACGAGGAACAGTGCATACTGAAAAGGTATCCGAACAAAAGTATTTCTAAGTATTCATAAAAGATGTACCCGAATGCTTTTAAACGCCACACCTTTTTACAACTATCACCCACTTTATATACAAGACGCGTTTAAAAGTATCAGGCACGTATACAAGGGTGTTCGACCAACCCCGGAAAAAATTTTAATGGGTGATTCCAGAGGCCAAAATAAGACGAAAATCAAGAATATCAATTCCTTGACTGAGGCTTCGTTAAAAAGTTATTAACGTTTAAACTTCTGCCTGTGGAACGGCAGTCCGCGAACAGCTGCGCGCGCACGATAGCGTGATACTGTGAACTTTAAACGTCAATAACTTTTTAACGAAGCCTCGATCAACAAATTGATATTCTTGATTTTCGTCTTATTTTGGTCTCTAGAATCCCCCATTAAAATTTTTCTTGTATACTCAAATTAACATCCAACGCACGATGGAGACACATCATTATTAAAAATATTATATATTCTCCAAATTGACCAAAATTGAGTGCCTGATACTTTACGAACCACTTAATGTGTCCCGTGTAATTACATGTTTCGTATAGTTAAACAACTTAGAAAATATCCTTGCGGCTGAAGAACGTTTTAACAATATGGCGTCGACCGTTGTCATCACTTCAATGCTTCCAGACAGACACCACGTACAACGAATCCTCGGTGTATTTTTCATTTATTTATGTATTTAATGGATCAAAAATACTAAGTGAAATTCAGTGAGATTCATTGAATGGGAAGTCCAAAAAAAAAATGGCATTATCTTGAAAAATACCTTGCAAAACAGAAACAATAATTTTAACACTATTTCTCTCTGTCTTTACCCCCCACCATTGTCTCATTCCTCGGGGATATTTTTTAAATTGTCGTGCTATACGTGTCCTCCGGATTCAACGGGGACGCTTTCAAGTTCGTCGCTTCTTTTCAGTATAAGCCTCGATCCCGAAGAGGATGTGCAAGACCCTGAATTGTTCTCCGGATTGGCGACCTTCCTGGACGACGATCTAGAGGCCGCTGAACGTGAACAGATCCTCGCGAAGACGATACCAAGAATGGTGGAGAGAGCAAAGGCCTTGAGGTGTTGCAAACCACCGCAAGGCTTGCACTTCAGCCTCCAACAGCAAGGTGAGTTGAACTGATTCTCCGCTTGTAGAGAACGGACAGAGCTGATCGCGATCACGAGCCTTCGTCGTTCCGCCTCGCGGGATCACGCCAGGGTGGCGAGCTGACAAGTAAAGCAGCATCTGGAAATATTCTTTGAAAACGAGTATGTAAGTTTATCGAATGTTCATCCGTTTCCTAATGGCGCCTGCGCTGAAATCTGCTAAATTTTCAGACCGGTTATTTTGGGGAAAAATTTTAATGGGAGATTCTAGAGACCAAAATAAGACGAAAATCAAGAATATCAATTTGTTGATCGAGGCTTCGTTAAAAAGTTATTGACGTTTAAAGTTCACGCTATCACGCTATCGTGCGCGCGCAGCTGTTCGCGGACTGCCGTTCCACAGGCGGAACTTTAAACGTTGATAACTTTTTAACGAAGCGTCAATCAACAAATTGTTATTCTTGATTTTTATCTTATTTTGGTCTCTAGAATCTACCATTAAAATTTTTCCCCGAACATCCTGTATATTGTGCGCTGTAATTTACACAGAAATAAGCATTATTATAAAGCACTGTGCTCGAACGTTAGAAACGATAGAAAAACATTTGATAAAATTACATAGCCGTGTTCAAAGAGAATTTCCAAGGGCTACTTTGTTTTTCAGCCGATCGCCCCGGGCGTTAACCGCTTAATACGACACCGAGGAAGACGATATTGTACCCTATGCCGTAGGTGACTGCGTCGAATACAGCTACGCCTTCGCTTCGTCTTTGATCGCGAACGCGTTCTTCTCCACGTATCCAAAGAGAACCGCGAAAACTCATCCGACCTTGCGTGACTTCAATTTCACGAATTTCTTCAAGCATCTACGCAAGTAAGGAGAATCAGGCCCAAATGTACCGAGTAGCGTAAAGTCATCAAAAGTTTGAAGATGACCGGCCGTGGCGAAGGGAAATATAAAAAACACCTTCGTTGTTTACAGCAACGGACAGAAAGCGAAACTGAAGAGCATATTTCACTACTACGACTACCTTGAGACAGAGAGCGCGCTGGACGGGAAACTGGTCATCTCTAGACAGGTCCGTATACAGGGTGTTCCCTGGGGAAAAATTTAATAGGGGATTTTAAAGCCTAAAATAAGACGAAAATTCTAAATTATTCTAAAAAAATTATTTTCGGTTGCGGGGGTCAATTATAATCATTTTTGGTAATTACACATACCCCCGAAATCCTACGCACTTTCGAGAAAAAAATTCCTCGCCGAAAATCTAATTGGGTGACTTTCGACGAAAAAGAAAAATTTCAAATCGTTCTGGAAAAATTATTTTTGGTTGCGGGGGTCGGTTGCAATCATTTTTGGTGAATAGACATACCCCCAAAATCCCACCCATTTTCGAGAAAAAAATTCGAGAAGGTGTGAAATTTTTCGACTAAATTAAAAAATTTCAAATCATATTAAAAAAATTATATTTAGTTACATGGGTCAATTACAAGCATTTTTGGTGAATAGACATACCCTCGAAATCCTACCCACTTTCTAGAAAAAAATTCAGTACTGGTGGAACTTTGGTGGCCTCCATCAACAAATTGGAATTCTTGATTTTCGTCTTATTTTGCCCTCTAGAATTCCCCATTAAAATTTTTCCCAGGTGTGGCCGAACACCCAGTATAGTATTACAATTTTCCTTGTCCAGGTTTCATAAGTATAATTGTTCTACCCCATGTAACACGAGTACACGTCTTTCAGGTGATGACGTCGAAACAATGGCTGACCATCGAGGACTGGCTGGAGAGCAACGTTCCCTTGTGCCCGTTGATGATACGTCACGAGGGTCGTCTGGAGCGAATGGAGCCCGAAACAAAAGTATTGCGCGTTTGCTTCGCGAGCGCGAAGTTTGGCGGCGGCGTACTTGACGGTGATGTTACGCAAGAAACTGTACATGTAAATAGTTGAAGCGCGTGAGAAACGTAACTTCGAATCTGAGTTAATCTGTTGTAGTCCACACGTAAAAAAAAATTAGAACATAATTCAACCGAACGTCCGAGACTGCACTTGGCGCGACGAGGGGGGGCAACGAAAAATTATAGTAATTTATTTGTTGTCTTCAGATAGCAACGCATCCCGAAATGCTCGCGGCGATACTGTCGGTCGAGTCGCTGGAGGACAACGAAGTTTTGATTGTAGAGGGCGTCAGGCACGTGTCTAGAATAAACGATCCTCGCAATAGGGCCACGTTCGAAGGTTTACCGAAGCCAAACGTAGTGAGTACAGAGTCCCAGTGCCCATTGGGTTGTAATACACGTTGACTCGCTACACCCTGGACATTATTCTGGAAGGGGTTCGCATAATAGATGCGCAAACAACTCAACTACAGTCGTATACGTAATTTATTTTTATTTATATAAAAATAAACGTTGGAGTAATTTCAAAATGCACGGTTTGCGCATATTGTGCCAAAAAGCGTAACAGCGTTCGTTCAAACGTTGCTATTTGTCACCGAATATTAAAGAGAAGATTATACTTCGTCTTTCGCTTAACACGTTGACTGCCAGACCAAAACTTTGGTTTTAGACAATTGTAAACTGTATAAGTTAAAATTTGTCTTAGCACTTATTTTTGTAACCTCACTAAAATTCATAAATCCTATTCAAATTTCAACTTTTACATATTATCTTGAGAATTAATTGTTCTAGTACCATAGTAAAAAATCCTGTCACCCATATGTGGATGACGTGGCAGTCAAAGTGTTAAACGGGAGCCTGTGTTGCAACCCGATATTTAACGTGCTCCGTTATTCTGAACGATGCGTTGCAGGTGACAGTGTGCTGCATCGATCCCGAGGATTACTCGAGGCTGCCCCTGTCGCAATTCGAGGAGGACAATATACTTCGAGAGATGAACAAATCTCTGCTTGGATTTCGACAGAGACGCGTACCGAGTAGTCCGACCGATCCCGTAAGATCGGAACTAGATCCGGACGGGGCACTAAGTTCTCGAAGATTGTCGCCGATCGGGGAGAGCTTCAGCAGCACTCCCCCGGAAACGGAAGGCGACGACAAAGCGTTGTCGACGAACAATGGCGCGAAAGATGGTACGGCGTACATTTTTACCAAACGTAATCGTACACGTCGTAACGCTCTTACCGATTCTTATTTTGCTTCAGCGAAATCCGCGCCGAACGAGCAAAGCAAGTACGATATCTTGACGGAAGTTCGTACCAGACCGAACGGGAAGTCCATAAGACCGCCGAGCCCCCACAAGATGTGCAAGGACGCGAGTTGCACCAACAGAAGAAGTCGGTTTATCGTTCTTGGGTCCAGCGGCGAGGTTCTACCGGTCACGCGGAAATCGCTGGGTCAGATGTCGGTGTACAGTAGCTGTAATAGTCAGAGCACGGACAGCTTTCATAGCGCGAAGGATATCGTGGACGAAGATCTTGGTACGCGATACACACGGCTGATCGGTAATAACGCGAAAATATTGAATCCTGTAACGTTGTAACTTGCAGAGGAGGAGGAACAGAAGTTTAGTAGGCGGTACAGTGGTCAGTTGGACACCCCGGAGCGAAGAGGAACGTTTGCTCAACGGTTGAGGGACGCTTTGAAGCGAGAGAGCACGGCTACCGGTGCTACTTCGTCGAACACGTCGTCCGGCGAGAGTAGCTACGCGGTGGGGATAAGCGTGTCCGGAAGTCACGTTTACGACCAAGACATCAAGTAAGGAAGCTCGCGTACACCGTCGCTATTCGGTGTCCTTTAATTACTTAACGTTTTAGGGTAAAAAGGGGGGGTTCGAGGGGTTTCGTTTTACGGGACGAAACCGTGGACGAAGAGTTTTTGAAGGAATCGTTGGAAGCCGAGCAAAAATGGCTGGGTAGATTTCGACAGAATCAATCCACGCTTCAAAGAAGGGACACGAGCGCTAGCAGTAGATACAGTTTCAGCACCGAGTACAATTCCGGCAAGTATTACGAAACACCAACAGAAACATCTTTCGTCAGCCTCTAAATATAAGCGTACCGACTTATCTTCGTGCGTTCAGATTTTTGTTCGGAGCTCGAGGAGGTTTACGAGCAACTGGCAAAATGGTTGGAAGACCCGATAGCGGCGGACGAATCCCGCGAGTTGGACGCGAGAGACAGGGCGGTAGTGCGATTCGCGGGCTCGTTGTTAAAGAGGGCGCTCAGCGAATCGTTCGCCGGCGTTCCGGTTCAAGAGGGCGAACCGCAGCCCCTCATTGATTCCGTCGACGTGAATCAAAGGCACAAGTTAGCTCTGGCCGTGAGAAGTTTGAGTTTGGAGCTGGCCCGTCAAAAAAATCGAAGACAGCAATCAGTAAGAAACATTGTTGCTATATTTCTTTTTTAATTTTCAATCGAGATTATCTGATTCGGAGGTGATAACATTAAAAATGAAAAATTGCATTAGAATGGATCGAGATCGATCAGGTTGATTATGAATTTATTTCTCGCAATTTTATCGACGAAGAATGAGAGACAAACTAAAAACTAATGCCGCCCCAGATAATATTTTGTACATAGCCAAATCTCATCAGATCATTACGATACGCAGGTCTCTGAGTCTGAAGACGTAGAGTATTACGAAGATGCTTTAAGTAATCATACGATATCGAAAGAGGTTAAGGATATCCAACGTAGAAAACTTAGGACGGTAACATTTACATCCGAAGTTTTTCAAACATTGGTCGATGACGAAACTACCGTGTATCTATCTAATCCTGTTTCTTTAAGCACACCTGGAACTGTTATGGAGAACCTTGTGCAAGAATTCGAATCGCATGTTACACTTAACGTGAGCAAACTTGTCTTACAAATATGTAAATTCTGTTTCGTGAATGTAACGCATGAACCGATACCAGAAATTATTTCACGTCTGCCTTTGCTCGTTAAGTCTTAAAGCTTAATTGATCCGGCTAACAGACGAAGGCATTGAGGATTGATGATTTTATTTATACATTAACAACTTGTCGCATGACCGATAACAAACATACATGGTGAAGCTCGTAGGGCAAATCGCTGGAATAACTTATTTACGTCTGGTTATAAACAAAAAATGATTCAAACAATGATGCCATTTTTCATCGTTAAGCATTTTTTGTCTACTGTCGAAAGTAAATGAGTTATTCCGGTAGTTTGTTTTAAGCATAACCGTCTAAAATTATACCTCACCCTGTATATGCTTCTAATTTAAGATGATGTAGTCATAGCTCTAACAACTAATGATTTGTCTCTCATTCTATCTGATGTCTTTTACTTGTACACTTTATAATCGATATTTAACTTGTGTTTATATAACTTTCCATATTTTCCACAATAACGTTGCCCAAAATTCGCCGACTTTGTACGGTTACTAAAATGTTTTTTTTTTTTTCTTTCTTTTATAATTAGTTTGCATCGATCGAGACAAAATAATAATTGTATTACTTCATATTTACTAACGCCACTTTTTAGATACCGAGAGACAGTAGTCCTCAGTCAGGTGGATTATTAGCCGTTGCTACTGGTAATTGGGGATGTGGATCCCGATTAAGAGGGGATCCTCAGTTGAAACTCGTTATTCAGTGGCTTGCCGCTTCTTTAGCGGGTGTACCAAAGCTAGTGTATTATACAGCAGGAAATCCCAACTTGTCCAAGGTAGTAAATATCATATTAATTAGTTAGAGAGAATGAGAAACTAGTCCACGATGTTTAGAATAAGAAAATACACTTTGTCGACCCCGTGAATTATTTTTTAGTTAGACACTGTGAGTAGAGTCCTAATGGACAGACATTGGACGGTCGGTGATTTAGCAGCGGCAACGCTAAGATTTGCCTTGCAAACTATCGAGGAGAGAATAGAGGGAAGAAATAGTTTGTTCGAGGAGATAATTGGTATGGACAAACCAAGTCCTTAGCCCGACTCGATGCTGTCTGTTTTGGTAGACGTACTTGCTACCATGATCGAAGACAGCCTATTGAATGCTTAAAATGATTGCCAAAGAAGCACAAACAAAACGGTTACGCTTCTTTTACAATTAGTGAGAGTGAAAACCTGCTACAAAGATTGACTATGAAAAATGGTCGCAAATGGAAGAAGGGTAACAGTTACAGAAAACCTTTAGTTTTTGAAGATTTGTACGAGTAAATCTAGAAACATCGATCTCTGGTGGTTTGAATGTTTCATATCAATGCAATATCAAACAAAGTCGCACAACTCAGTGTACAAAAGATTACATTAAAATAGAAGTTGAAATTTCAATAATTTTTAGCAAATATGTTATACGAGCGAGGTCGAACAAAGACGTTGGTACAGTCCGGATGACTGTATTATGATTTCCTGGTGAAACGTTGTCACTTTCATCGCAATGGAATTTATACAGGTTTAATAGATTAGTGAACACGAAGAGTCAATTCTGATTTACGTTTATATAAGATACGTAACTTGATACAGTTACCTGCAATAAGTAATGAGGCACAATACATTACACTATATTTTGTACAGTATAATACTTATAAGTCGTTATATGTGTCGGATCAAAGCATATGTAATAATTGAATAGATTTTTAGGAAAAGATTTTTAGTCGTATTTTATAGGCCGCTTTTTTATATCAAGTATAATTTATACAAAAAGAAATTATGTAAATAATAAAAATGGAAATGTATAAGGAGAAAGTAACGTGGCCTCTGAAAGTATAAAGAGTTTACAAGATAAAAACGTATCGACTATAAGACGTCTTCCACTAAGAAAACGTGTAAGTGTATCTATATCTACACTTGTATACTCTCGGTGTACGTTTTGTTTTGAGCAATATTATGTAGGATGTGTTTCAAAATTCTTTATATGTATGTTGTGTATTGGGAAAAAAAAAAAAAAAAAAGTATAAATCCAAAGCACGTATCAATAAATTTATATCATGGTAATAGAATTTGATATCCTTATGTATTCAAATAACAGATTTCAACCGCTTTTTTTGTCAATTAGGTGTCAACTGGTACAATGATTCAATCGATTTTTTACATTTATTTTATGAGAAGTACAATATCCATTATAGCAGCGAATTTTACTCACCGATAAACTTTGCTGCTCTCAGTTTCTTAACTTAAATATTTTGCTATAACTATAGGAGTAAAAAAAAGACAAGTATAAAAGGCAACAGATTCTATTCACTCATCACAAAAAGAGACTTCGCAAACGACGACCCACGCCTTGTTTATCGTACAAAATATTGAATTTGTTAACAAATTGATTAATGTTATTGCAACCTTTTGTTACGATACCGAGGTAGGTCATCAAGGTGAAGTCATTACATTGCTGAAAAGATTAATAATTTGATGCATCGAACGTGTTGAGTTAATTTTTATTCTGACAAGTGGACGGCGGATACTCACGTTATAAAAATCGGCTTTAAATTTCGGATTGTTTAAAACCGGCAATCGATGTCCCAAAGAACAGGCTGCTCTCAAAACTTCGTGATTTCCTTTCAGTTCCCCGCTTTGTACAGCTTGCACATATTTTAGAACCAATTTTACTCTCGAGTGCAACATTTTTATAGCACTGTGTTGCGCAGTTAGGTGCTCCGCGACTGTAGATCGTTTATTCATTTGAGATTATTTTTTTTATTTCGTTTAAAACACTGGAAAAAGAAATAAACATGGTTTATATTACCTAACGAACATTCCCCTTGATCGTTGCTGCACATTCTCGCCACATGATCAACGCCGATTCTTTCAGCTTCTTCCGTAGCCAGTGTATAAGTTAAAGGAACAAACAACATTGTAGCTTCGCCGTTAACCAAATCGATCACCGATTCGTACATAGAAATAGACAGTTGCTACAAAGAACAACGAAGTTTCATTAAAATGTAAATATAACAAAAAACGTCAAACGTAAATGCGTACATCTGTATTTTTTGGTCTCGGATCGAGCTTTAGTAACACAGGACTTTCATTGATTTCGCAGAGCTGCTTATGCACTCTGATGTCCCTTTCGTTAGGCATCTCTCCTGTCGTATACCATCCCAAAAAGTCCATTTCGCTGAAGACTTGTTTAAACTGTTCTTCTTTCGTGTTGTAATAATCTCTGTCGATTATAACATCGTCTCCGATACACGTGAACATCAGTTCGAAGGAGTTCATAATTTCAATGTTACGTCCCTTTTGTTTACCGATCAATGCTCCATATACTGGAACGCGTTTAGATAGTTTTAAACGGTTGTTTTTATGCTGTTCGAAGGAAAAATTGAAATCGTTTGAAAATTTACCTAACTGGTCTGTTCCTTCTTGGGCACGAAGCCTAGTCCAGTGTTCACTGACATTCATTATAACAAGCGGATGGAGACTGATAGAAACAGATCCAACAGTGCCCGATGATGCCATCACTTTAATAGCACTGAGAGAATTCGCCGATGTGGAGGCATTTTTTTCAGAATTATCCTCATCGACTTCCATCGGTGTCTCCGTCGGTGCCGTTGCATTGTTTTCGTCAACCTCCATACCGTTTAATTATTCTTCTTGTTTGCGAATCTTGCAACGAATATCGTCGTGGGTCCTTTTATACGACACCTGATCAACAACGAAAACGAATCCTTTTGTTGTGATACTATCCTCAAGTAACACAGATATTTGGTAAAAAAAAAAAATTTTAGCTCAACATCATGATACGCGTTTCTTCACGGTTTCGTTCAATCATACGCGTATTATTCTAAGGTTGTCAAACTTATGTGTATGTAAATACACGGTATATTTCAAAATAGACTTCGTAAGGTAAACTATCATAGAATTCTCTAGAGGCAGTAGTCGATCTACATAGAGTCGGGGATCGCACGACGCACGAGAATTGAGCGGTGCACTCGGTGCACTGAAAAAAACACTAGGATTCTGACGATAAAGTTGTAGAGAATCTTTGTTGGGTACAGTGATTTAACGAGATATTCTTGAAAGGAAGCGATTTGAAATTATTTATATTTATTTATGGTATTAATAGGAAAGTGTTACGGGAATTATCGGGGAAGCAAGAGAAAATATTCCATTGGAAGAATTTTATTTACCGAGCTCGGCTGACAGATCGAACCCGAACGAAACCACGAAACAGAAAATTCGCGGTTCTTGTTATTGTTCTACATGAAGCAGATTACTTCAAGCGATCATGCGTTTCTGAGTTCGATATACGATACGATATTGTACAATTTGACGTTGGTTCATTCTTGTTCATTTTAAATTAAAGATTATCATTCGAGTCGCTGTGCAATTAATTAAATCCTCGGTATAGAATACTGCATCGATTTTAAGTAAGTATGTGTAACGATTACACAATTCACGAAAAGCATTTCTAGGTTAGATGGAACGGATCTCTGTTAATAAAGGGTGCAGTTGATTGTAAATATCCAGAAATTCGTGACCATCGTTGCCAAAGCTGTTGGAAGATATCAGACGGAAAAATATTTGTCTCGTGTCAGGTGCCGGCTTCTTTATTATATTCTTCAAACACTATACTTTTCTGACTTTCCAATCTATACATAATATTCTATCGGACAAAATATAAAATCAACTGTACCCTACTTAGATCTACGTAAGAAACAAAAAAGACAAATCCTTTGACGATCGCACAAGATTTATCGCAAGATATTACCTAAACAGTTATTCGAAGTTTTTGACGGTAAAGAAATATTATGCAGAATTAAAGGTATCAACTTTTCCTTGGGGGAGGATTTTGCTTGTACTATTAATATTTTACCATGATGGAGAAGTTCGTTGGAATGCACCAGCTAAAAGGGATATTGAAAAGTTTTCCAAGGAATATGAAATTTTGCTTTGCATACGGATCTGCCGCATTCAAGCAATTAAACAATCAGTCCAACAATATGTTGGACCTTATTTTTGTTGTTCGTAACGCAAATCAATGGCACGCAGAGAATTTAGAACTTAATCCTACGCATTATGCCCAGCCGTTGAGGTTTCTCGGTCATAGAGCGATCGCTAACGTGCAAGAAAATTGGGGTGCTAAAATATATTATAATACGTTGGTTAAAATAGCAGGAGGATATACTATCAAATACGGAGTAATTTCTGAAGTTTCGTTGGTAGAAGACTTACTAGACTGGAATGATTTGTACTTGGCGGGAAGGTTGCACAAACCTGTAAAAGTATTAATGGAACCGAGCGAACAATCACAACTGCCGACAGCTTTGGTACAAAATTTATATTCAGCTATACACGCAGCGTTATTATTGCTTCCGCAACACTTTACAGAGGTTGATTTTTACAAAACTATTGCCGGCTTATCCTATATCGGTGACTTTCGAATGACTTTTGGTGAAAATAAAGATAAAATTAACAATATCGTTTTGTCCCAAATGGCGCACTTTAAACAATTGTACAGTCCGATTTTACAACATTTCGAAAATTACGTGGACATTCCAAAGTCGGATCAAACGAGCGTCACCTGCCATCAAGATACAAGTCCAGAGACAAAAATACATCATTTGAATCAGTTACCTAGAACCCCGCAAGTTAAGCTTGTCAGAGCATGGTCGCAAGGTCCAAGGTCGAAGGATACGGAGGATTGTCTGCGCGCGATTGCGTACGATCCCGAGTGTGGTGAAATACTGGAAGAATGCTTGAAACAAATTGTTTGGAAATCCAGTGTCACGCAAAGCCTGAAAGGAATTCCAACCGCTGGACTTGTCAAATCTATTAAGTATGGCGGGGCGAAAATAATGAAGATGTTGCAAGCAACTCCACAGACAAGCTTGATCCCAAAATCAGAGCCAGGTCGAAGTAAAGTCGAAAGTATAGTAGAGACTGTGAAGAACGAGGCACAGCCAAAGGAAACAAACAAACGCATAGAGTAGTAATTACATCCCTTTTAGTCGTACATTTAATTCTGTCATATGTACAATGTTTCACGCAGCTATGTTCTAAATAAAGTTACTTAGTCAAATTACGACCATTTTTGTAGGTATAGTTTAATGCCTCGGCGCTTAAAAAGTATTTTAACGCGACACGATGCGATATTCTTAAGTTTTCTTTATAAGTATTACACCACGGACTAGAAGGATTAGCACATAAAATCAAACATCGTTATATTTTACAAAGTATTGCCATGTATGTATTGCAATTTCGTCACTATGAAAAAAATTAAATTTGTGATACTTTCAGCAAGTAACTAAATCATGACAACAATGGATTCTGATTCCGAGAGTCAGGACAGCGACGACGGGCGACGATTTCGTTTTGAAGCCACCCGCAAAGATTACGTGCACCCGGAAGCTAAACTCGGGAAGCATTCGAGGTCAAAGTCGGAATGTAAATCTGGCTACGACGACGTAGATTATAGAGATAGAAAAGAGAAATCTAAGCACGACAGCGGTAGAAGGGAGCACAGATCGTCGAAAGAGCAAGACGTTGATAACAGAGATCTCAAGCATTCTGCGAAATATTCGAAACACACACACGAGTCGAGAAGCTCGAGGCGCGAGGACAGCAAAGATTACAGAAGCTCGAGGGACGTCAGCATAGATTCGAAAAGTTCCGCTCTGTCCTCGAAGCGTAAAACGCGAGACACGAAACGTTACAGGGATCAAGATCGGGGCGAGCATCGTAAACACAGATCCCAGGAACGATCTCACAGTAGAAACGACGACGATAGATCCCAAAATGACAAGTATAGGAACAAATCTCACGAGAAGTATAAGCGACACTCGCGCGACAGAAGCCGCGACAGAAGCTACCAGTCGCATAAATCGAGATCGTCCGATCATGGCAGATTTCGAGGTGAACTCGAGAGGCACAATTCCCATAAAAGGATCCCGATAAAAGAGGATGTGGATCAACAATTGCAAGAATTATCGTCGCCAAAAAACCCGGAACCAGGCCGTACCGACAATGAATTATTAACGAAAAAAGATTTGTCGGAGAGCCAAGAGTACAAAGAGTTGGACTTGTCCGAGTTTGACGTTCTGTCGGAAACGGACGAGAATCTGTCCGATGGTTCAGACGTAGGAAATAGGTGTTTATTCTCGCGGCACCATAAGACAAAGACGAAAAAACGAAACTCGAACGACGAGTGCGAGAGCGCGACGAAAAAGCAAGCGATAGAAAGCGAACACTCGGACGGCTCGCCAAAGGTAAATGCAAGGAAGAACGACGTGTCGTCTGGTTCCAGTAATAATAATCCTGGTGCCGTTTCAGATTCCGCATTAGGTATCGCGTCGCCTATATTGACGGAAATAACGGAAGACCGTATAAATATCGTCGATGAAAGATGCGAACCCGAATCGAGAGAAAAGACGGTTGATTTGAATAGCGAAGAAGAAAATTTTAGTAACGACGAGAAAGCTTCCTCGCGGCTTGGTAATTCCGATTCTTCGAAAGCAACAGAGATCGGTGCTGTCGAAGAAGACACCACGTACGGGCCGAACTTACCACCGCCATTAATAGTTGATTCTTCCAGTAATGTAAAACCAGTAAAGACTACGAATTTCATAGGACCTTGTTTGCCAGAAATTGACGAGCGAAATGTAACTGAACGATCCGACGTTGATACGAGCTGCAACGACGAGAACGATTTAAGCCAAGAGGATTCCGACGCGGACTCGGACATGATTTTCGGTCCGGCGTTACCGCCGCATTTGTTGGAGCAAACGTGCAGCGACGAGACGAAAGCGAAAATCATAGGCCCCGCTATTTCGAACGCGATAAAATCCACCGATAACGACGAAACGGAACAGCCAGAGTCCGAGAACGAAGACGAGATCGGCCCTCTGCCGGCCAATCATCCCGCATTAAGAACTAGCAATGTGTACAAACAGCTGGAGCAAAGGGCGCAACAAATAAAGAATGAAAAAAAGGACGAGGTAAACGAAAAATTATAATTTCTATAGCGAATCGGGATTGTTTCGATGAAAGCACATAATGGTAAATGATATTTTAGGACGATGGTGATTTGAAGCAACGCGAAGAATGGATGACGGAGTTACCTCCGGCGCAGGTCAGTAATCTAGGATTAGCGCCGCGAAAGTTTCGCGTTAGGACAGGCCCGGACATGTCCGACAGGTCGTGCTGGACAGACACCCCGGCAAAGAAGGCTGAAAAACAGAGGCAACGAGTAAGCGTGATAACAATATTTCTTCGTCGCGTTTCAGAGATCGTTAATAATCGAAAATAACGCCGTGACTGTTTCGCCATTTTAGGAAGAAGACGCGTTCTATAATTTTAAAACATCGACCACAGAGCCGCCGTCTCAAGAAAGTAACGAAACCGAAGGTGGAAAAAGTAGAAAGCGCGAGAAATCGCTGTTAGAAGTTCATCAGAGCAAACTTGAAAAGAAAAAAAAGGTGTTTGCGCATTGAAATTTTACGATTTATATATTTATATTATTATATTATATATTATTAAATGTATAAATTTCAGAAAGAAGAGAAAAAGGCAAAATTAAGTGGGCAAACGGTTAGGAGACCGTTCGACAGGGATATTGATTTGCAGATCAATAGATTTGATCAGGCTCAGAAGAATGCTATCATAAGCAAGGCGCAGTATCTCGACGAAAGGTTCTCTCGTGGAAAGATCTAGTAAGATTATAGTAAATTAATAAGATTTTACAAAGGTAATAAGTTTTGCGCAGTGTACATTTGTAATTTGGCTCCTGTAAGCGATATTGCTAATGAGTGCCTTCAACTACAAATGATGTAATTCGATTTTCATTTACAACGGGATCGAATTCACTTTTTCTTTTAAATTTAACTTTTTTCCACTTGTTCAATGCTTAATGGTTTTTATCGATTGATCATAATTGTAGGTGGTATTAACGTTAATATTATGAAACACCACCCTCTTTCGAAAACACCAATTTCCGCAACATATATATAGTACATTACGGTGTAAATTCGATTAATTACTATCTAAATATGTATAGACAGCTGTGTTATACATGAAATATATATTTTATTCACTTTACTGAGATTCATATCGACTTAAATCTATATTGTGTATGTACATTACACTATTGAATTGTATACTTCGTAAATGATCGTTCTTCATGCCTGTGATGTATATATACGTGTAATATTCATCTATTGTATCATAAAACATTGTAATCCAGTAAGTAATCAAACCTCACGTAAGTAGAAAAAAAACGGAACCATAAAAAGACATACATTCTACGAACTTCGAAAACGAAATACGCTTCTCCTTTTCCGTTCTTTGTATCACAGAATCAACTTTGTCTGTGATAATACAAAAAAAAAAAATGTTTGGATGTATTAAATTTGTAGTCGAATGTAAACAATTTATGATTGAACCACGTGTACTTTAAATATACTTTTTACGAGAATTATATTATGTACATTCAATTTGTTTAATAAACCGAATAAAGTTTTTTACTCCGCCTAAAAGTATCGAACGTTTTGAATATATCGATTATAACATTAACGTATGATACTTCGTCGTACAAACAATCTGATCGCACCTCCTTCAATCTGGACACGGTTCCGCAACGTGAAAATCGATGCGATTGCGAGCCTGACATTTAATTGAATTTAAATTTAGCGCTTCCCACCGCATGAATAAGCACGTCCGGCATAGCTCTGTCATATAGTTCCGTGTGAAAATAAAGGAAAAAGTGTGTACATATGTATGACATCCGCGTGACTTCACTGATCGAGTCGCGAAACAATTTTGTTTTAAATTGGAGAAGTCGTGTTAATCGTTTTCGCGTTACGTATGAACGTTGGATCGTTTGTCGTGTCTGTATTTATGAATGGGGCACTCCTGTACGGTAGTGGAATCTTTGACATTTTCTCGTGAACGTTGCTCGATTGTTTGATCAAACGGCCACAGTCGGTTCTTGCGTCGTTGAACTCGTTCTACGCATTTTGTCGCCGAGATCGGTGGTAACCACGTTGCTCGAAAAAACATTCTCATAACCTCAAAACCGAGGTGGACCGAGGAGAAGAAGGGTGTAAATGACACGCGACGGATGATAAATGGTGTGCATCTCGTTGCACGCTGCTGATATACCTACGAAATTTACGTGCGCGTGGGCGTACGCGTGCATGTGCGCATACATGTATATACGTATTACGCCGTTAAACGTCCCCTGCGTGTCGTAGGCTGTGCATTTTTTTCTGGATGAGAAAAGAAAGAAGGGTATCAGTACGTATAGAAATTATCTATGTATGCACACGCGTCGAGTAATACGGCCGATAAGGAGATATTCAGGGTTAAATTTGCACAGATCCCTCTTGTTCTTCGTACCTGATTACTGTGTTCCCCGTGTATACGTACGTACGTTTTACGCGCGTGTGTGCTGCGTGCATGTTACTTCTTTCGCGTTGATTGACACATATACACCGATAAACCTATTATTGTCGTCTATTCGTTCGTTAATGTGTCAAATTTCGTATATCAAGTTACAACATTTTTTTCGATCATTGATTCAGGTACGATAACGTGTACCTTTTTGCTTACGAATTGTTTATCGGGAGTAGTTGATTCATGTAGTGTATTTTATACCGTTTTATGGCAGACATTAAAAAATAAAAGTTTTACGTTGTGACGTTTTACATGCCGTGTTCGTTGATTTGATTTATTTACTTGCCTGAACTGTATCGAGAATTGCCATACAGGTTACGAATAAGTATTTTTTTCTCTCGCTGAAATGGTTAGATCTATTGTGACGGAAAACATTGAAATCGAATAAATAAATTTCGGCTTCTCTGAGTATGTACATGCAGTATGAAGATAACCCTAGGTTTGGTAAAATTTGCTGTTTCCGTGGACAAGTATGTAATAACAAATAATAGTAGCGAAAATAATTCGATGGTTCATTGTGGACTATACTTTGGTTGTAAAACTTCTTAGATCGAAGTTGACAGTAATTTTTTTTTTTTTTTTATTAATTATCCGCACTATCGATAATTGTTAAAATAGCGGTCGTGTGATACGTATAGTTTTCAACTTTATACGTTCTATACGAAAAACAAAGTTAGGTTATAAGTACATGCATCATATTTACTTCTTACAGGACAACAGTATTCTATTCCACGTGATGGATGTATTGGTATATTTTAATTGAATCTAACGTATAATGAGTCGCTCAAGAAAATTTTTAACGGAATATTAAAGTTGACAGGACAGCGTATACTTCTGATATTTTAAAAAAATGAGACAGTGTTGCATAAACCATCAAGTCCAGCTATGGCTTATGTTCCTTGTTGTTTGCGTCGTGTACAACAGGGCAGATATTTTGGTATTTTCTGCGGCAGCGAGACACCAAATCGAAGAAGAATTTAGAGACATGCCCGCTGGATTTGGTGGCTTGATTCCATCCGAAGGGATTAAGGTATCTATCGTCTTAACGTTTTATTTAGAGAAACCGGAGAAAATTATTAGGAAGTATTTATTTAGAATAGAATGCGTATTACGGAATATGGTAAATTTTATTAGGGTATGGTGGTATATGCGGATCCTCCTACTGCGTGTCACGACATACAGGGTCCCCCGAATATAACCAATTACAAAGGTAATTGGATAGTTTTAATCGCCCGCCAGAATTGTACCTTTGAAGTAAAAGTTCGAACGGCGCAAAAGGCTGGATACAATGCTGCAATTATACATAACGTGAACAGTAACGAATTAGGTAAATATTTTAATCGCAAAACTTCGCAATAATTATGAATTTAATTCGCATTATCGTTGAAAAACATCTACGACAATTACTTTGGGTTATTTGTCTACGGATAAAATAAGGCATAAATAGAAACTTACATTTACATGCGTATGTATATGTATTTTGTTATAGAACCAATGGTAGCGGAACATCCTGCAGGAATAACAATATCGTCTGTATTCGTTAGTGAAATCACAGGACTAATTATTAAAGAAAATTATTTATATGACGAATTATATTTTGTACTCATTAATGACGACACGCCGTTTAATATTAAACATTTACTTTTGCCGTTCACTGTTGTTGTCGGTCTGTGTTTTTTAGTTATGGTTATTTTCATGGTGAGGGCAGATAATGAAATATTTAAATAACATTAAGATTGTTGAGTTTTCAGCTAAACATCCCTGTTTGAAACGTGTCTCTTTTGTATTTTAGTTCTATAGATGTATTAAGGATAGAAGACGGCAACGAAGGCATATGTTACCATATTCGAGCTTGAAGCAAATTCCGACGCACAAATATACAAAAGGTGATCCATACGAAACGTGTGCTATTTGTTTAGAAGATTATATAGAAGGTGAAAAATTAAGAGTTCTACCTTGCGCGCATGGTTAGTATATACCAGTGAAAATCCATTATGGTATTCTAAATCCTGCGAACGATAGTACATTAATTCATTTCAGCGTATCACACAAAATGTATTGACCCGTGGTTGACAAAAAATCGTAGAGTTTGTCCCGTTTGTAAACGGAAAGTTTTAGCAGCGGATGAACAAGTTATTAGCGAGGACAGTGATTCGGACGCTGACGATACGACACCTTTATTTCGTGACGGTCATCAAGGTATAAGGAACGATCATTTTTTTATCTATTAAATTGCGTTCTCTAAAAGGAAAAATAAATATCTTTTTAGGCACTCGAGGTGGAACGTTCACACAGCAGGAGGAGAATTCTATCACGCGTACAATACTATCGCAAACTGCACGAATTACAAATCAATTGAGTAGCACTTCCGAGTCCGATGAATCTCTTTCTTTTTAACAATGGAAAGACTTGTAGCACGGGAGAACCATCTAATGGAACTGCTTTCATGGTGTTGGATACTCATAGCATTAATGGTAAGAAACTTTTGTTATTACTTTTAACCCTTTCGCTGTGAAAGTCTTTTCATCGATGGAGCTCCATTGTTCCTTGCGTCGAGTCAAAAACAAATTCAAGTTAAATCGACATTTAAAAAGCTTTGTAGAATTCGAAAATATAAAATTAAGTATTATATCTGGGAGGTATTGATCAAGGGTTTGTGGGATTCCGAAAATTTTCGGTAATTTCAAATATGCTTCGGAATTCTCGAAAACATCGAATGCTCGACTTATTGTCTGAACTACCTCCCGTATATTTTTGGGATCCCGCACACTCCTGGTATTAATTTAATTAAGACACAAAGTATTCGTGTTTTGTATGTGGATTCGCCAATTTCTGTATTATTCGTTTTGGGTGTCGCGATCAACAGAGAAAGGGTTAATAATCAATGGAAGAGAAAAAGAGAGATTTTGTAAAAAAAAAATTAGCAACCTTAACGATTTAATACCAGGAGAATTACAGGATGCGGAACGTATCAGCGTAAAACTACACAGAGTGAATTTATATAGGACAATTGAAGAATTTGCAGTGCCTGTTGTTCGTGTTACTGCAGGTGGTAATACACGGGTCGTGTTTGAATTTCGGGTGGCTCGCTGCGCCAACCGAATGTGAAACTACGAACCTACGTAAACCGGATCCTGAATGTTACGCCCGTTCTGCGTGATTCTCGTATGTTTATTCTTTATGGGATATTAATTATCTATTTCCGATAAGGTCGAAAGCACTTTTGCATGGTATTACAAAACTTGGCAGAGGAATGCTAGATATCCAGAATCGTAGAACGGAAGAGCATTTTTGACATTCTAAAGATTTAATTTTTTTTTTTTCTGTTATTTGGAACAAGTGAAGTGTCGATTATAGGTCTTGTCGTAAGTGTTAAAGAAATTTATATAAATCTAATTCTTCATATAACAAGCGTCGCTCTTCAAGCATCCCCATGTCCCGTGTTTTCTATAAAGGTAAACGAAATTTTATTATTGACATTGATCTACTATCTTAATAATAAGAATCATTGTTATCCTATTAGCTTATTTCGATTAAAAATCGCTTTAGATACACGGAAAATAATTACTTGATAGTTAAGACTGCAAATTTATTTTCTAGGCATAATGTCCGAGTAATGTAATGTTTCAAATAAGCGAGAAACGGAATATTTCACGATAAAAAATGTCTGTAATCGCGGCTCTGAAAGTTACGAGAAATACATTTTTTAAATGTTATTTTACTCAATGTTGTATTCATAGCTTTATGGCCTATGTATTTTATGTTTCGAGCGTGACTGTTAATCGCATACATTTACCAGAGTTACGGAGAACATGAATACTTATTTCTCTTTAATCGTACGAATAATAGATCCTTTTTTTTTTCTTCGAGTAATTAAATATTTTCAATTATTCCATTAATGCTAAATGATGATCATTGGTGATACATGTATAGTAAATTAAGTAAAATATACTTTGGTGATATAGTCCACGATATGAATTTATAAATATTATTTGTTATTATTGTATACATATATAACTATATAAAGACCAAAAATAGAATTCGTTTTAGCGCAGGATGTATAGAATTTAACCAAAAAATTATAAACATATAACAACTAATATTTTCAACGTCAGGCGTTGTGTTGATCAAGTTGAATCTTTAGAATGTAAGCGTCGCGAAGTATAACAATGCTGATAAACAATTTTACAGAAATATATATATATATATATATATAATGAAATTTCAGCAGTACTTTATCAAATCGTCGTCGTTATGAAACTTCGTGTAATTAAGTAATGCAGAATAATATTATCGTATTTCGTATAACGAGAACCACTGTTTTTTCTACACAAATTCTGTACATTTATATGTATGATTCAAAATATCTGAAGCTAATAGACTATATATGCCTCCGAACGGGGGAATGTATTACGTGCTCGCGGATCGAGGACAGAAGCGGCAAATTAAATTTATGCGAATCAGGGGACGTCGTTTCACTCTGTCGTTTATGATCGGGTGTTAAGTTGAATCTTTCGACACAAAAGGTAACGAAAGAAAGGTTGTACAAAACTGCGTGTAAATAGTCAATATGGGAGACCTTGTTATGTATATATGTATATTGTACAATATCGAGGATTGAATTTTTACTTGATTACTATAACGTCTGAAACGAAAGACCAGACTTGCTATTGTCTTATTATTTAACGTTAGGTGTACTATCCAAATAAAAATAAAAATATTTATATTTTGTATTTTACATTATGCGTCTGATATCCTACGATGGACTCGCGTTGTGGTCTTCGAGCGAAGTTAGTGTATAATGTAAGATAAAGAGGACAATTCCTTGATTACTAAAAGCTTTCATTACGGTGATAAATAAACGCTATAACACGTAGAATAAAGATGAGATAGTTTTATACCGGTAGCTGTCTAATATCAATGCGTGTGATGCAGTTAAAAATAAAATTATACAGGGTGTTCGGCCAACCTTGGGAAAAATTTTAGTCCAGGATTCTAGAGGCCAAAATAAGACGAAAATTATGAATATTAATTTGTTGATGGAGGCTTCGTTAAAAAGTTATTATTTTAGGTTGCAGGGTCAATTATAATCATTTTTGGTAAATACACATACCTAAGAAATCCTACACATTTTCGAGAAAAAATTTCTTACCGAAAATCTAATTTTTCTTCCAGACCTAACCCAAATCTAATGCAGACCTAACCCAGACCTGACCCAAATCTAATGCAGACCTAACCCAGACCTAACCCAGACCTGACCCAAACCTAACCTAGACCTAACCCAAACCTAACCCAAACCTAACCCAAACCTAATCCAGACCTAACCCAAACCTAACCCAAACCTAACCCAGACCAAGGTGCCTAAATTTTTCGACGAAAAAAAAACATTTCAAATCGGTCTGGAATAATTATTTTTATTTGCAGGGATCAATTACAATCATTTTTGGTCATTAGACATACCCTCAAAATCCTACCCACTTTTGAGAAAAAAATTCGAGAAGGTGTGAAATTTTTCGACAAAATTAAAAAATTTCAAATCGTTCTGGAAAAATTATTTTTATTTGCAGGGATCAGTTACAATCATTTTTGGTCATTAGACATACCCTCAAAATCCTACCCACTTTTGAGAAAAAAATTCGAGAAGGTGTGAAATTTTTCGACAAAATTAAAAAATTTCAAATCGTTCTGGAAAAATTATTTTTATTTGCAGGGATCAGTTACAATCATTTTTGGTCATTAGACATACCCTCAAAATCCTACCCACTTTTGAGAAAAAAATTCGAAAAAGTGTGAAATTTTTCGACGTAAAATAATAATTTCAAATCGTTCTGGAAAAATTATTC